CTCACACGAAACAAGCAACGAATTGCAAAAGAGGTACGAAACATACTCAATCAAGAGACATGTCACCACCCATCGACAACAACGACGCTAGCATTAGGATAATAACTAGCAAGCTCAACAACGAGGAAACTCAAGATAGTTCCGAGGAACACACAAGACACCACACGGTTCAACGAAACACAATGTTGAACACTTAGCACGATTCACAACACCAAATATCCTACATGGATACCTACCATAAAGCTCTAGACCTACGAAACATCAAGAAGACGCTCAAATAGTTCCACAAAAGAACAATGGGAGGCCAAAAGATCAAAGACCGAGACAAACAAAACACGGGGAAAAAATCCCACTCCAACCTCACTGTGTCCCCCGCGGGTGGACCCACGGGTAGTGCCCCACCCGTGGTCCCGCCCGCGGGTACAACACCCACAAGGCATACATTCCCGCGGGTGGTGCCCCGCCCGCCGTTCCGCCCGCGGGTACGTCCCTGTACCACAATAAATCCCTTCGGGCATTTTCTCCTCCAAACACAAATTCAAGTCCAAAACATTCCAAATCTCACCAAGCACAACAAAATGACTTGAACCAAGGAAAATGCCAAGCAATGGCACAAAGGAATCCTAAACACAAGCTCTAGATATGCAATATCACAAGATAAATGCATAAACTCTCACATTTCATAGCAAAACACAAATACAAGCCAAGAAGTCATATATAGGTAAGCAAAATAGGTTTTGTAGAGCATGGGTTACCTCTTGAAGACCAAAAGACTCTTCTTACACCACAATAAGCTCTCCACTAAGCTCACTAGCCAAACCCACTTCAAGATCAAACCAAAAGATCATAAAGATCCAACCTTTAAGAAAAAGACAACTAAGATGGAACCAAAAAGACTAGACAAGCTTAGATCTTACCCTTCTAGATGCCAAAATTGAGGAAAGATTGAATCTTGGAAGCAAAACTTGGAATCTTGACAAAGGCTTCTGTTGGCTTGAAGAACAAGCTACTCTTGTTTTCTAGAGAGAAGGTAGAGTTATTTTCTAGGAAATGTAAGGGAATGAAATGAAGAAGTCTTCTAGGTTTAGGTTACAAAACTAGCTCTTGGTGAAAAGACAAGGATACCCTTACTAACTCTTAGAAAGTGTAAGGAACAAGGGAACTCCTCTCAAAGCACAAGGTACAACACCACTTAAAGATTGACTAGTCAAATACTAGTCATTGAGTATAAAAAATCAGGATTTTAGGAATCAATTCCTCAAAAGAAATAGAATTAATTACTCAATTAATTCATGGTTTGGAGTGTGGATTTTTGGGGTGTCACAATAATTATTTATTAATATAAATATATAATTATAAATTTGTATAAGAAAAACACAGAAACTTCTGGTTAAAAAAAAATCTCAATTTCGTTTTTCTCTTTCCCCACATCATAACCCCAATCTCTCTAGAAAAAGGCAAAGTAGGATGAAAAAAGGCCTTCATCTAAATCGTCCTCACCTCTCAATTCAATTTAGCTTTTGTTTGATTGCTGTTTTGCCCAGCGAACCACATAAACCCATAACGCTACTTGTTGAAGTAGAGCCTCTTTAAGTATCTTCAAGCTCATACCAGACGATATAAACTACAAAATATATTGAAATACAGGGGAATATAGTTAGAAAAAGGTAGAAAATTCATACAAAAAGAAAGCAGAGAGATAAGTCTGAAATTCTTTGATTGATGAGATAACGAAATGATGGTTTAGTACTTTGATCAACAGATCAGAACATCTCTTAATTAATGTTTGTAAATGGGAGATTCCTCAGGTTCGGGTGGACGAACCATATGGAGCCTAAGTGGTCTCTTATAACAAAAACATACCTTATCAAGATGGTCAAAGTAGCAAGCACTCAAAGGATCGGGAGCTTCACAATCCTTAGTTGTCTTGCATGGCAAATCATTATTCTTCTTTGCTTCACCACCACTCCAAATGCCAATCATTATATCAACTCACAATATTAGTGTTTTCACACATCTAATAAGCATATATATTTTCTCTTATATTTTTAATGTAGACTCTTAGAATATATCATTGTGAAGTTGAAGATCTAATTTTTACCAGAGAAATTAATTTAATGTCGGTATATAATATACCCATAGTAAAATATTTTATAGGTGAAAGCTAAAAGATGAATGGACTTACATGAAGCAACCACGAACAGAAGGAAGAGACTTGAAAAGAGTTTGGAAGCAATGAAGAAGATGATATTGGTCTAAAGAGATTGATAGTGATGATAATATATATATATATATATATATATATATATATATATATATATATATATATATATATAAATATATATATATATATATATATATATATATATATATATATATATATATATATATATATATATATATATATATATAGATAGATTATTATTTAGAATAATTTAAATATCTAAAATCTAAATAAATTTAAAATTTTAATATAATGTATTAATATTGGGCACCTATTTTTTGCGCATCGCGCATAAAAAATACTAGTATATATAATAAATATAATATATCTATATAATATATTTATTATATATAATATACTTGTATACGTGTGTGTGTGTATATATATATATATATATATATATATATATATATATATATATATATATATATATATATATATATATATATATATATATATATATATATATATATATAAATGAGAGGAGAGAGAGAGGAATAGAAGTAAATGTTTATTACTTCACTTGATGATTTAAAATGCTTTGTAATGGAAGATATTTATACTAAAACATAAACGACAATAATCCGAAAATGATGCTCATAAAGCTCCACCATGACCCACGTACTGCTGCACTCCATGATGCAATGCAACCATTACTCCCTTTATTTTTTAACAAATTACCTAACTTATCTTACTTGGTTTAACATTATAATAATATAATAATAATGTTATTATTAAGAAATGTTTCCGTCTTCAAGTTGGATATACTGACTTGTATTTCGTTCTGTAAACCCACTTTACTCCAATTGGCTTCTTCCCAAGAGGTAAATCTGTTAACTCCCAAGTACCACTCTTTTCAATCGCACGAATCTCCTCATCCATCGCCTTAAGCCAATGAATTTCTATAGCAACCTCCTCAACGGATAAAGGGTCACAATCTGCAAAAAGAGAAAATTGAATAATCTCTTCATCCGACAAGTCATTATCATGACCCAAAACATAATCCTGCAAGCGAGCTGGTAAGTGGCGCTTGCGCTGAGATCGTCGAACTGACGACTCTAGCTGTGAAGGAGACTGGACATCATCTGGAATCGGTTGCTCATCAATAATATTTTCAACTACAGGAATAACAATTGAACTTTCATCTTTAGCTAACCAATCCCAGGCACCATATTCATCAAAAGTGACATCACGACTTATAACAACCTTTTTAGTTTCAGGATTGTATAGTTTATAAGCCTTTGAAGCGTCACTATAACGAATGAATACGCACTTCTCACGTTTATCATCCAACTTCTTTCTCAATGGATCTGACACATGTGCATATGCCAAACACCCAAAAACCTTAAGATTTCTTATGGAGGGTTTCTTCCCACTCCAAGCTTCCTCAGGTGTCTTATCCCGGACACTCTTAGTTGGGCACCTATTCAACACATAGACATCACAAGCAACAGCTTTTGCCCAAAAAGAATTAGGCATATTCTTGGATTTCAACATGCACCTTACCATATCCCTGACAGACCTATTCTTCCTCTCAGCCACTCTGTTTTGTTGTGGAGTGTATCTAGCTGTCATCTGGTGTTGGATACCCTTCTTCTTCAGAAAATCATCACAGACAATATATTCTGTACCTCTATCAGTTCTCAAGATTTTAATTTCATAACCACTTTGCTTCTCAACAAAAGTCTTAAATTGTTTGAAAACATCACATGCTTCAGACTTTTGCTTTAGAAAGTAAACCCATGTTTTTCTACAAAAATCATCAATGAAAGTAATAAAGTACTTACAACCTCTATATAATATATTTATTATATATAATATAACTGTATACGTGTATATATATATATATATATATATATATATATATATATATATATATATATATATATATATATATATATAAATGAGAGGAGAGAGAGAGGAATAGAAGTAAATGTTTATTACTTCACTTGATGATTTAAAATACTTTATAATGGAAGATGTTTATACTAAAACATAAACAACAATAATCCTAAAATGATGCTAATAAAGCTCCACCATGACCCACGTAGTGCTGCACTCCATGATGCCATGCAACCATTGCTCTCTTTATTTTTTAACAAATTAACTAACTTATCTTACTTGGTTTAACATTATAATAATATAATAATAATATTATTATTAGAACAACTTATTTTTTCAATTTCAATATAAAATATATTTATATATTAAAATTTTTCGTTAAGGCAAGCATCACGCTTTGATTGCTCTTGTAAGAACTAGTCAAACTTGAACTCTAAACACTGTTGGATAAAAATGAAAAAGAAAACAACACCTTACATACCATTTGACTATAATTTATGAACCTTTTGGAGAATTAAAAACTTATATATATATATATATATATATATATATATATATATATATATATATATATATATATATATGGAAGGGCTTGCGTTCATTTAGTCCTTCCTGTAAAAAATGAGGTTGAATCTAAGCCTTACGTAGCTCTTGATCCAACGAATAAGATTAACAACAAAAAATAAACGCGAATTGCTCATTAAGGGCATTTTGGTCTTTTTGATTATATTAAAAAAAAAATCAAAATTTCTGATCTTCTTCTTCTTTGCGCATTTTCAAAATTCACCATTGATTCCTAATCTTCGATATTTCCTAATCTCAGTCGATTTTGCGATCTCTATGAAATTGGCAATAAAATCTATTGTCTTCATCGTTCAATAGCTTATTCGTCAAAAGAAACCGTAAACCCAGCAACAACGTCAACCGATCAAGAATGGAAGAATTCGATCAAGGTATTACCCAAATTTTATCGCTTTTTTGGAATTAATTTTATCTGCACCTGTATTGGTCTCCTTCTTGTCTTAATTACACGCACATTAAACACTACATGCATGCAACTTAACAACTGAATTACTGACCTACTTTAATTATTCCGAGCCTAAAGACTTACGCATGTAGATGATTAGGTAGCCGCATGTTAATTTTTACAAATGCGCATATTACATTTTCACTGATGCCGGTTAATTACCGGCGTAAAATTTTAAACAATCCTTACACATGTTATCTGTTAAACACACACACGTTCAGTGCTTTCCAGACGCATGTTAATGTTAATGGACCCACTGACACACGTTAACTAATGACCATAAGTTTTAAAAAACACTTATGCATGTTAACTGTTCAACATACGCACGTTAACTATTACCCTGACGCACGTTAAGTGCTCACTTGCCGCACATACTCTTGTATTTTATAAACCTGACATATTGACAATGATCTGATTAAATTAACGCATATTAAGTATTCACACTTTGCACGTAGAGGCTTACAACAACGCAATAATAACTTCATGCTTATATGTTACAGTTCCCAGTGACTTGCAATCTCTGAACAACCCCAGTTTGAGTCCCAGCAACAGCAGCAATGGTTATACATTGACCATATCTCCTGGAATGACACAGTATTGGACTCCGCACTGTGAAGATAAAATCAAACCAGCGGTTGACATGATTTTTAAAACATTGGATGCTGGTATTGAATTCTACAACAATTATGCTGCCAAAGTCGGGTTTGACACGAGGTCTAGTTCCCTCGTTAGAGCACGCGACGGGACGAAAACTCTAAAGAAAATCTTTTGCAATAGAGATGGATTTAAGAATACGGGTGCCCAACATTGTCACTCAAAATCAAATGCAGATGCGGGGGAAGGTCCTTCGCGTCCAAAGCGGCGGAGGGTTTCAAACAGAACTGGTTGCAGAGCTAGGATTATTTTTAAGTACATTGAAGTAGTTGGGTACCAGGTTATGACATTTATTGAAAAACATAATCACAGCATGTCTTCGGTTCTTGCAAGGTAGTTCCTAAAGGGAAATATAAACATCTCCAGTGTTCATCAGAAGTTTATACTAGATTGTGCTAAAACAAATATTGGAGCATCAAAATCACACAGTTTATACAGTCAGATTGTGGGGGATTACTCTAAAGTTGGGGCAACTGTAGTTGACTTTAAAAATGTTAGAAGGGATCTCAGAGCATACATATTGAGTGCTGATGCACAAATACTCGTGCATAATCTTATTAAAAAACAAGAGATGTGCCTTGCATTTGCTTTTGACTACGAAGTTGATGAAGATGAGCAGATGAGTATACTGTTTTGGGCAGATCCAATGTCAAAAAAGAATTTTGCTGCATTTGGAGATGTTGTCTCTTTTGATGCCACATATTCAACCAACAGGTATTATTCTATTCACATTCTTGCGTACGTTTCATACTTTCATTAATTAATTCACATTAAGCATTGCCTGATATGTTGAGCCACGTTAAGATTTAGACATGTTCACTGTTTACTTGAGAAGAATTGTAATATAAATAAGCGCACATTGTCGCTTTATACCACGCATCTTAAATACTAATGTCGCGCATATTAATGCGGAACATCCATAATTAGACTTCAAGTACATATGTCTGCGATTTTAAGACTTAATGTGCGTCACTCTAATGCTCTAAGTGCGCCAGTTTGACACCTGTATACTGTGATGACGCTTTTTGTCTTGTAGGTACAATCTGGTTTTTACACCCTTCACTGGAGTTGATAACCATAAAAAATGTATAACATTTGGCGCTGGACTATTGTTGAAAGAAGACATTGAGTCTTATGTTTGGCTCTTTGAAAAATTTAAAAAGGCAATGGGTATGGAACCAAGAATGATTGTCACTGATCAAGATCCAGCTATGAAAGTTGCGATTCCAAGAGTTTTCAAGCAAGCCAGGCATCGTTATTGCATGTGGCACATTATGTGTAAAGTTGGGGAAAAGGTGGGTCCTACGTTGAACAAGAATGAGGAGTTTAAGAACAAACTGAACTCAATCGTTTGGACGTCCTCTTTGGAACCTCCTAATTTTGAGAAACAGTGGAGAGAGTTCATGGAAAAGTACAACTTAGTCGAACACAATTGGTTTACAACTATGTTTGAGGCTAGAAACCATTGGATCCCAGCCTATTTTAGAGATGACTTTATGGGGGGGTCTACTCAGGACAACGTCTCGTTCCGAAAGTGAGAACTACACGTACAGCCGTTTTACTGGCCCATAGTCTAGCCTAGTTGAATTCATGATGAACTTTGACAGTGCTCTTAAATCACAACGTAACACATACGCAAAGCTCAACAGTGACAATGAAGGCTACAATCCAGATATGAAGACGCCTCTGGGGATCGAAAAACACACTTCAATCGTCTACACCATTACTGTTTTCTATCAAGTTCAGGAAGAAATATGTGTCTCCTGTTTCAAATGTATGGTGTTGAGTGTTACAGAAGATGGTGGAATGTTACACTATGATATTATGGATGGAAAGAACAAAATATTTACTGTGGTGCACAATGTAAATGACCATGATGCCAAATGCAGTTGCAAGATGTTTGAGATGGTTGGATTGTTGTGTAGACACATATTTGTGGTCTTTAGAGACCTTGAAAAGATAACTCTGAAGTATGTGGTTAATCGATGGACTAAGGATGCATCTTTAAAGGCTACATTTGAAATAGATGGTGTCATTTATGATCAGAATGGACCAAAGGATGAAAAGAAGATGTTGCTGAACAAACTGTGGTCTGATGTACACTGTTGTATAGATCTAGCAGGTTCAAACATGGAGCAATTGGTTGCATTTTCGCAAGTGATTAATGAACAGAAACAGCTGCTAATGTCAGGAAAGGAAAAGTTATCCCCCCAGCACAACAGGAAGACTGTTATAGAATCATTTTGTGGATCAACAGAGATTTCAGAGATCAATATACTTCCACCAAAACATTCAAAGAACAAGGGCAGCGGCAAACGTATCAAAAGCAGCAAGGAGTTGGCAATGGAAAAAGAAAAGGGCAGGAGGTGCAATTTTTGTGGTGTTAGAGGAGATCAACATGACACCAGGACTTGCCCACTTAACCCCAAAAATAAGGACAAACAAAAGGGTAAGAAAAAGGCATATCAGTCTATTTTTACAACGCCTTTACAGTTGAGAAGGAAAATAAATAGAAAATATGAAACACATATACTTAGTTAACTCATTTTAGAACGCTTTTACAGTTGAGATACTTGAATTTAATGTTCAGCTATTACTAGTTTTTGTTTTTATCACTGATTTGTTTTTAACAATCACTGCTACTAGCTTAAACTGCGTGTCATTAATACTTTACCTGCGTGCAGTTAATTTTTAATATGCGTTGATTACACTTTTAACGTGCGCTACATTAAAGCTTAATATGCGTAATACGGAAACAGAATGTGCGTTGGTTTATGTATAAAAACTTTGGTCCGTGGTAAATGCCAAAGTCTTTACATGCGTCGATTAACATTTAACTTCCGCGACATTAAAGCTTAATGTTCGTAATCTGGACAAAGACAATATTTTACACTTTCTTTTTCTAATATGCGTTTATTTATTAGTTAATATAGGATGCGTTAAAAATTAGTCTAATATGCGCGATTGCAAAACTTAAAGTGCGTTTGTTTGATTATGAAATAATTTGCAGATAAAATGGCACATATATAATTGATTGCACATATTTATTTCTTCTAGTACTTTGAAGACATCTCTTCTGGTTCTGGCAACATCCGACACGCTGCCAGCCTGCCACAATGCTCAACTCTCAGCCTTGGATGATGTTTGGTTGCAGCATGATGAGCTTGCACCTGAGAATGACGAATGATGTTTCAGGTTTAGAATGTGTTTTTTTTTGTAGTTAGTTACAATCACTACAAGCTGGAGGGCGTAGAAAATGAAAAAGACATAGAAGATAAGGAATAAATGAAGATGGTTCTTCTGTACGTGCAGAAACGTGAGAGATAGCCATTTCAATAACCTGATGCTCAGTTGTGCGTTGTTCTTTCTAATTTATAGGTGAATAACTTGGTCCCATGCACTGATTTGAGATTTCAATGTTGCGTGATTTACAGACACATTAGATTTTTCAAGATTTCCTTTAATGGGTGCCTTTTTTAAGGCATTGAATGACCATTCAATGTTATCCGTTTCCCCAACTACAAATGCCTTAAAGTTCTGACATCAAATATCTTTGAATATTACGTAAAGACGGATTGGTATAAAAGACTTAATGTGCTTTGCTTTGCTCTGTTACATGCGCGAACTACAAGAACAATATGCGTGTAAATATGCATTTAATTAAATTTCATCGAAATAAGAGATTTTTAAAAACCAAAAGTTTAAAGTGCGTCGGGAAACCAATTAAAGTGCGCGAAATATCACTTTAAGATGCGTTTATTATATTTTATTAAACAAAAAACAAATAAAATATAATAAAAAAATCAAGTCTTTATGAGAGTTCAATCCTAAGCAGAATCAGTATTATCAAAGACTTATACCATTTCACCAATGGGCTCATCTATTACTTTAATTATATGAAAAATATTAAACAACAATTCCTAAAAATTAAAAACAAACAAAAAGAAAAAAAAAAGAATATATTTAAAATGCAATACGTACGCTTAAGATGCGTAATACGGCAATAAAATGTGCGTTGCTTTATGTATTAAAAGTATAGTCCGTGGCAAATACAAAAAAAGATTAACATGCGCAATACAATAACATAATGTGCATTAAAAAATACGTGAGTCTGGATGTTTTTTTCCGGACATAGTAATATGCGTAGAATTTGGTCTTAATGTGCATTTTCTTTATATCTTATATTTCCTTGAAAAAAAGTCTTAATGTGCTTGAATTTTCTATTAAATTATCATGTAACACGAAACTATTAAGATCCCAAATTACATAACGTCCATTGATTTTAGTCTAATAGTACTCGGATTTGCTAGTTTATTTAACCATTATAAAAAACAACCCAAAAAAATGAATAAAATGCAAAAAGATTTATTATTTACATTGAAATAATTTACACTTTTAACTGCTACTGCTACTACTACAACTATAATATTAATAATAATAATAATAATAATAACAACAACAACAGTAATAATAATGAAGCGAACATGAGAGCTTATTTTTAATAACAAAATTAAAAAAAAAAAAACCAGGCAAATGACAGGATCCGTCTATACCTTTTGGAGATATTCCTTTTGGTTAAGCCTGCATTAAGGTACCAAAAGATATATCTCCAAATGGAGTAGAGGATCCTGCCGCATGTCTGGGTTAAAACAACACATTATAAACCTGAAAAGATCAACTTCTATGAATCTAAAATCTAACTGATCCAGATGCATTGGACTGCCCCCCATGTTATATTCAACTTACAGACAAAGTTGATCTCTAAATTGAATATCCAAATCAGTTAGCATTTAGATCCACAGAAGAAGATCTTTTCAGGCTTAAAATGTGCTGCTTTAGATGAAAACAACGATAACATGTGCTCTACTCAAATGAGGTCGGCTCCGCTAATAGTTCCTTTACATCCTCGTATAAACTTCCAGGGTCGAGGTATTGTAAGATCCATGGGATGTTTACAATGTGTTGTTATTGTAATCAACTACATTGACAAACAAGTAGAAGGAGGGCGAGTATGATGAGGATGGGTAAACATCGTAATGAATGTGAAGAAAATGCCGAGGAATAAATGATGGTCTGTAAAACTGAAATGACACCGTTTCAATATACATGTTGTATGGTAAGGTGATACTCCACTTTTATAGGCGAATAACTTGGTAAATTCACCGATTGGAGAAATTCAATGTTAACCGTTTAGTGAACTTAAAAAATAAATTGACGTTCACAATTAACGTACAGGGTGCGTGCATTTCTACTTTAGTGTGCGTTAGTTAAGATTTTAATGTACGTGAATGAGTGCGTTTTTTTAGCGGTTGAGATAAATATGAATTGGTTATTCGACGCCTAATAAAACGCAACCATTGAAGAATTCGTTTTCTATTATTATTCAAATAATTTTTATTTTTTTCCGTTTTTAATTTATCTTTGATATATTGAAATATTTTTCTTCCATTTTTAAATCCCTTTCCATTGTTAGAATGCGTATGTATGTATCAATTAATATATGGAGCAAAATAATTTTAAATGCGTCTATTGATATGACAATGTGCGTGAGGGGATTTTTAAACGAATATGCGTCAATTTATTGATTAATATGCGCATGTTAACACTTTATTATGTGTATCTATCATTCTTAGTGTGCATGAGATTGTACACTCACTGACTTAGACCCAATAAAAAAAAATTCAATGGGTGCGTTTTTTTAAGTATTGAATGACCAGTCAACTTTAAAAGATTCCCATTATGGGAAATATAAAAATTACTGACATCGAAATTGACTTGTCACTTATTACCAATACCAAGTACATATCTAACGGACCTTATTGCTCTAATATGCGTAACATTTACACTTAACATGTGTGTGAGTGTATGTATAACTTAACATGTGCAGCAAATATAATTTAAAATGCGTATATTAATATTTGAATGTGGGTGAGGGGATTTTTAAACAAATATGCGTCAATTTATTCATTAATATGCGCATGTTAACACTTTATTATGCGTATCTATCATTCTTAGTGTGCATGAGATTGTACACTCACTGACTTATACCCAATAAAAAAAAAACATTAATGGGTGCGTTTTCTTAACGATTGAATGACCATTCAACTTTAACAGATTCAAATTATGCGAAATAGAAAAAATACTGACATCGAAATTGACTTGTCAATTCTTTGAAATTCCAAGTACATATCTATCGGACCTTATTGCTCTAATATTGGTTACATCCACACTTAACATGCGTGTGCGTGTATGTATAACTTAAAATATATGGAACAAAATAATTTAAAATGCCTCTATTACTATTACAATGTGCGTTGGGGTATTCTTAAAAGGATATGAGTCAATTTATTCATTAATATGCGCACATTTATACTTTATTATTCGTGTATTTCAGTCTAAATATGCATTAGATTGTATACTAACTGACTTAGACCCAATAAAAAAAAAAAAACAAAAACAAAAACTTTAATGGGTGCGTTTTTTTATAAGTTGAATGACCATTCAACTTTAACAGATTTTCTTTATGGGAAATGAAAAAATTGCTGACAATGAAATAGACTTGTCACTTATTTTAACAGATTTCCTTTAACATGCACCCGTTCATAAGCCGGTAATATGTTGAAGAGTCTATTTAAAGAAAGGATAATCCATCACACCTTCTCATCTCAAAAGACAGATGGATTCTAAAAAACAAAAAATGATGAGAAAGTCAAACAGTCGAAGAAAGCCCGAAAACCCCTTTCCAAAATAGCAAAAGAAGATTTACCATCACTGAAGAAGGATCTGAATGATCCAACTTTCGAAGAACGGTTTCAAGAATTTATTGACAACTACCCTGTTGAGAATACCCCTGTTGATTCAGGCAGCGACACAGGCTCAAAAGTCTATTTCAACACTTGGAAAATGGAGGCTCTTGCCTACCTAGCTGATGAAGAGGAAGAAGTCGACTCAAAAAATGGGCCAATCTTCGTGAAGAACGAAAGGAAAGGTTAAGCTTGATTATGCATGTTATGATGGACGCACATTCTTAATATTACGTTTGATATAATAAGTGTCTACTGTTTAATGTTTTTAAAATATCAAGTTTATTATGGTGAAGTTGGTAATTTTCATGATGCTTAAAAATGCGTTGATAACCCATTTAACTTGCGCAGCATTAAACCAGCATTTAACTTGCGTAGCATTAAACCTTATGTGCGTTAAAAAGGGTAGACAATATGCCTATATGAAAATCTTTATATGCGTCAGATTGTAGATATTTAAATTATTCTAAATAATAATAATAATAATAATAATAATAATAATAATAATAATAATAATAATAATAATAACTAAATTGTAGGACTAAAAATAATAAGAACTAATAGAAATTTCATTCAAACTAAATTGTAGGACTAAAATAATAGCAAATAACATAATAAACATAAAATGTTTGATAAGAATATTTTTTGTAAGTTTTGATGAAGCCAAATGTACTTTAGATCCCCTTAGTTTTTAGGTCTTTGAGTACAAGCATCATAAATCAGAATAGCGAGTCAAAAGGAATCTACCATAGGAAGAACAAAATTAATTTGAGAAATTAATTTTGGTCCTACGAGTATTCATCCGAGAAAGAAGCATAAAGGAATGGCGTTGCAAAGAATGACCGGATCAGACAAGCACAATGCTACCAAGGAGCACAATGCTACCAAAAGAGCACAATATGCTAAGGAGCACGATGTGTGCTGACAAGCACAATGTGTGCTAAGGAGCACGATGTGTGCTAAGGAGCACAATGTATCAAAAGGAGCACAATGTTCTAAAGGAGCAAAATGTTCTACAGGAGCACAATGTGAAAAAGCACGGTGTGTCCAAAGGAGCACAATGTGACCAAATCAGAAAAGCACAATGTTCAAGTCAAGGAGCACGATGCTCAAGTCAAAGGAGCACAATGTGGCAAAGAAGCAAGATGATCAGAAATTGGATAAATTCGAATGAATTTATTCTAAGTCTACCCACATGCCACAAGAATCCAAAATTGTCTGAAAGACATTTGATCAGAACGGAAAAATATTTATGAAGACATGAATATAAAAACTTATCCTAGAAATAAATTCTATCAGATGAATTTATTTCAAAGATATGTTGGATATTCAAAAAGACAAGAAAAATAATATTTTAAGAAGCAACTAGAAAATCAAGTTGTGA